GAGGACACCTATTTACCCCAGAGATCAAACAGGTTTTAGAAGAAAGAGGCCCTGATGAATGAGTCAGAGCAGAGCAATCAGCCCTCGTGTCTAATAAAAATGTAATAGGCTCACTTGCCACATCAAGGGTCACCCAGGGCTCCTCTGGCGTGATGCTCAGATGCTCAGTGGGGGTGGGAGGGGGCCTCAGGCACTGTCAATTCTCACGTATTTCAACCATCACTGCTTTGGAGATACTAGGCTTCCTTCAGAGCCTAGGACACTTGCTTTTCCAATGGCCTTCTCTCTTGCAGAGGTCCTGGAGGTAGGTGACCCTGAGTCCGGTGTGGGCACTCCTTCTTTATGTGTCCTTTTTGCCCATAAGAATAGCATTGCCCCTTTGAGGTCCACCGTAGTCCAGGGGCTGGGTAGCCCTGAGGTGGCATAGGACTTAAAGCTGCAGCTAACATGAGAAACTTTGCTTCCATCGGTGTCATTCTGCTCTTCTTCTGCCCTGCCTAGGTTGTTAAAAATACTGAAAGCTATCTCTACCAGTTGTTCAGGGGGCATCTGGGATGCCAAGGCTAGTTTTTATAGCTTTCTCCTGATGTCTGGGGTTGTCTGCTGGATAAAATGCACCCCGAAAGTGCAGGTTGAGGTTGATGTTTGTGGATTTTCACAAAGCTTCCGTTAATCACCCCCGAAAAAAAAAAACCCTGGGGTTTTTATCCTTTTATTTTGACTAACCTGTTTTATTTTGCCATAATTAACAGGATCAATGGTACATTTTTTCATCTCTTCTATGAGACAAGTAACCAGATGGGTATGGCAGTCCCTTCCCTCTCATCCTCTGTCTGTCCCAGTTTGATAGACCCAGTTAGGGTCCTGGTCTGGAATGGCATCTCCCTCTGGTGGATACATGTGATACTGAGCATGACAACCAGCTAGTTCATTAGCGTAAGCTCTACAGGCTTCTATCATGTGCTGCTTTTCATCTGCTGTATGGCAGTGGGAGAAAACAACCTGTAAGTCACTCCAAGTCAGGTCATAAGGCAGCGTTACGTGATTAAAACCCTCTGTGAGTTTGCTAAGGTCTTCAGAAAACTGACAGGAGTTTTTCTTTGCAAAGGACCTGGTCAGACTTAGAGAATGGAACTTATACCTGAATAATTCCTCCACCAGGATCCCCATTTGCTACTTCCCCCAGAGGTAACCTGTTAGGGCTTGGATGATATTTTGTTTCGATCCTTGTAGTAACCAGACCACAAGCAGGGGCAGATGCTGCAGTGGGGGAGGGGTTACATAGAGGTAGTACCTTGGGAGACAGAGTGGGCTGGGAAGCAGGCTGCTCCACCCTCAGGGTGGGTTCCTCTTGACCAACTAGGGAAAGGGGCCAGCATCTTGCCAGGACTGTGAGGAAGGTGTCCTCTAATTCATCTGAAGTGACAACACACATCTTACAAGACTTTTTACATCTTTATCTTGATAAAGGGCCATAAACAAGTGAATATAAGGTATTTCACTCCATTTGCTTTCACTTTTGCAAAACAAATCTACAGTAAAATAAGCACTTCACTTCACGCTCTATGAGCCTTTCCTTTTCTTTCTTATTTCTTTTTTCTCCTTTCCATTTCCCTTAGTGAGTTTCCTTCTCCAATGTCCTTCCTCCTTGTATTATGTATATCCTTCTTTTATCCTTTGTCACCTTTTTCACTTCCTCAATGGTTTCTCTTTTTGCTTCCTCCCCCTACACAATCCTTCTTCATCCTACACAGTCCCTCTGTGACTTGTGTGAACCTTCTGCCATGTACTCAAACCTTCTACAGCTTGCCTGGTCCCTTTTTAGTTTGCTTCTTTTTTAAGTCATTCAGAACTAACCAACTTTAGAACAACCTGCTTTCAATTCTGTTTCCTTGCATCTTTTGTTACTAAAACCATATGCTTTTCCCAACTTAATCAGCATCTGTAATTCTTAGAAACTTTAATTTTTTAGTGACAGCTAGAAGTAATTAGCATTCTTAAGATTGATACCTTTATGAACACATTTTACAAGTTCTAGAAATAGGTTCTTTTTATTGTCAAATACACTTTACCCTTTTTAAGAGGCATAACAGAGATAACATGAATCTTTTTTTGGTAAACCCAGGCAAAACAAACATATATCCTATGTTAATAACTTTAAAAGATATTAACTAAACCTAAACTACCCGTTTGGATTCTTGGTGATTATAGTATTTCTTTAGTGTGCTCAAAAGTGAACTGTTTAATTATTTACTGTCCTTGACAACTTTTAGGGAGGCTGGAGAAGAGCAAGGGAGATACCTGGCTCGGACAACTTCAGCCTCTTGAATGTAAATGCCATTTTTTTCTTTTCACATCAAGGTGGGGCAATCACCCCTGCTCGCACACGATTTGGGGGTGGCATGAATTCCCCCTATTGTCTCCAGGACCTCAGGACTCCCAGGCCTCTAGCAAGAGGATTTACAGTGTTTAAAAAGAGTCTTTTTTTAAAAATTTTCCTTCAGTTACTTTAGCCTCGTTTACATTTCTAATTACCCAGTAGGAAGACTTATTGAGACCCTCAATGAAAACTTCCAAGGCTGTGAATGAGCTATGGAAACAAAGAAAATCTCAACCCCAATTCAAGGAATTATATATCTAGTGTCCCAAAGAGTTGTTTAAACAGGAGAAAGAGGGTGAATGCTTTACAGAGGACCAGGAGATAGTGTATGACTGGAGAATTGTGCTGTGGACATGTGTACCTCGTGCCCTGAGGGTGGTCTTCCCAATGACTAGGATGTCGGTCAGATGCTGCGGGGATGCCTTTGCCCCACTCAGACAGGGGACTCGGCTCCACAGTGGCAGAGAGAGAGATACGAAGAGAACACACATTTGACCTGGGAATGTGTTTACCCCATGTCCTGAGAGTATCCTTACCGATGACCAGAACATTGGTCATTGTCCAGGGAGGGAATTACCCCACTCACCTCCATGCCAGCCAAACAAGAAGGGAAGGGGTCATTTTAGATGTTTGGGGTGATCAGGTCCTGACTCACCAGACCCTGTTGTTACCGAACAAGAGGTCTAAGGGAGGGGCAATACAATATTCAGCCCACCTAGGGATGCCCAAAACTGCTATACAACAGGGGCCCCTCCCCCAAAAAAGCAAAATACTAGTATCTATTGGGCTCTTCTGTCCGCCACCAATTGAAAAGACATCTCTCAATGCCAGAGATTTGTGAAAAGGAAACAAAATGTTTATTTAATGCTATTCAGGCCTAATGCCTCCACTAAAATATCAAAGTCCTTTAGGGTATACACCTACACCCACACAGCTCCTGATTCTCCCACTGTCCCAACTCCGGGTACCGTAAATCAGGAAAAGAGCACACGTCTGTGTTGCAGGCCGCTGGCACCGTCAGCTGTGTCACTGTGCAGGCAGGATCTCGAGTTAATCCAAAGTACTGTGGTACCCTCTCATGGTCCACTGGCAAGAGTCCTTTGTACCTAGTTCCAGTCAAAGTCTCTCTTGCTTTTCAGGCCCCGCGGCCAAAGGGGGAACCCCAAAGCTGCGTGAGCCTTTTCTACCAAAGCCGCAGGAGTCGGCACTCCACCAAAAGCATGTGGCTTTCTTCTTCACCTGGCTGCAGGGATCTCCATTCTGGCAAAGCTGGGTGGTTTTTCCCTTTCACCTGGAAAAGAGGGGGTCCACACCCTGCCCAAACCACGTGGCTCCCTCTTTCACCTCACCAAGAGGGGGTCCTCACTCTGCTGAAACTGCATGGCTCTCCCTTCACCTGGGCAGTTATCCCCTCATGTCCCGGAGCCAGTCTCTTCCAAGCTCTCACACCGGCCCTTCCATTCAGGGGCCCAGCCCCTAGTTACATCCTCCTGAGTCCCAAGTCCTTCTCACTCAGGAGTCCAGCCCCTAGTTCCATCCTTGGGAAGGGAGTCCCAAACTACTCCCTTCTCCCTGGCTCCAAACTTGGCCACTCCTATTTAACATATCTATGAAACCAGTTAAGGGTTATAGATATGTTAAATAACTATTCCAGAGGTTAGCTCCAAAACTGTTGCTATGCAAAACAGTTCTCAATGGCCTGGCTCCATTCGTTTCGTCCCCCTGGGGGGAGGGGTGAGGACATCTTATATGTCTCTCCAATATTTCTATACACTTTGAATTCTGGACACCATTCCAAATCTTTTTTTGGGGGCCCCCCCACCCTGGCTGCACCCTGTATCACTGTCACCCAGGTAACATCTAGGAATGGTCATGCGGGTGGGTGACTCTGTGTTTAGAAAGCAGGTCAAAAAAAAAAATCATTGCTCAAATATATGTTGTATGAAGCTTCTCAAACCTCATTCCAACTTTTCCTGCATTACCAGTCTTTGTATTCAGATTAGGTTTATAATGCGAATTATATTTTATATGACTGAGGGGAAAATAATAATAATAACTAAAACTGTGGATTTGTCTATTTTTCTTATTGTCTCATCAGATTTTGCTTCACAACTTTGCAATTCTGGTGAACACACATTTAGGATTGCTGTCTCTTTTTGGTACATTGCCCTTTTATCATTATAAAGGGTAGAAGATTAGGTTTACAGTCACTTGTATGGAAAATAATACAATAATTAATAAACTCTGTGAAATCTTTTCTACACAAAGTCAAGAACCCCCAGGCTACCAGCAGGCCTGAGGCAGACTTGCTCCAAGTCCAGTTTCCTTCTGGTAACAGTTTGGCACCCAACGTGGGATCTAAAGTCATTTTTCCTTCCTTACTCTCTTTCTAACTCATCTTTCCTGTTACTTCTCATCATTGGTATGGGGGAAACCTACCTGTCAGCTGTGGAATAAACCCTTCAACAAAACTTTCCGTGTACTTTTACTGAGCCAATTTTATTTCAGGTAAGAAACAGGACAATCTGAATTTCGGGGTATTCATTAGCAGATTATACAAAAGAGTACAGGACCCAGACTATTAGCCAAGTACTGACCTATGTACCCTTGGACTTTCCAGAGTGGAAGTGACAAACAGAATCTCCCCTTCTCAGTATATTCACTTGTGGCAAGAAGAACACGACAAGTCAGCATGAGTACTACAGGGAAGGTAAGTACAGTTTATTTTCTTTCTGTGACATGACCTGCCCCAGGTCATGTCACAGTTGTGTCAGCTTGTGTGCTTGTCTACCTAATAACACCTCATCATCCAACTCGTCTCTGCACTCCTAAAAGAGGGAGACTGTCTTAATCTTAGTTCTCCTTTTCCTTTACTCCCTTTATGTGTTTTACCTTTCCTCGGTTGTTTTAGTCCTTTAATAAGCAATATATCAAGCCCTGTATCAAACTCTTCAGAATTGAGGATACCTCTCCTCCTTCAAAGATTTCACAGAGAGAGAGTAATTATAGAAGAGTGGGCAAGTGTTTTCTACAGCAATGCCCTGGACAACTTGTTGCTGGTGCCCCCACCTCTACCCCCAGGTGTAATTAAGTCAGTAAGTTTAAGGGTGGGGCCCAATACTGAGCATTTCTGACAAGTGAGCAAATATTGACATCACTGGTCTGGGACCACACTTTCAGCACCACTGCTTTGCCATAATACCCTGCTTATTTTGCTAAGACTTCAAAAACATTTTTGTTAAACCAGCAAAGGAAGACAATTATAAAATTTATCCTCTAAAAATAAAGTGCCTTATATTACTAAAAAAAAAAGAGAGAGAGAGCATGCAGGGGTACTAAAGGAGAGGGAGAGAAATGCTCCTAACCTGTTTAGCCTTTCCAGAGAAGGGAACACTTAGCATAAGGGAGAAACATAGGAGAAAGAAAAATATCCCATATGAGAATCTCCAGAGTAAAGTCAGAGACCAGATGTGAACAGAAATAAGGCTGGAGAGACTGATATGAAGAAGACAATGGAGAGTCTTATAGACCACGTCAACAGACACTGGTAAAAAATTGGTAACCATATCATTTTTAGGTAGGGGAATAGCATGGTCAGGATTACAGTTCAGATGGCAATAATATAGAGAATGGATTTGAAAGTGATGGACCCAAGCCAGGTAAAAGGCAAGGTGAGGACCTGGATCACACAGTAGCAGCAAAAATGGAGAAGAGGGGTCAGATTCCAGAAAGTTTTAGATTGCAACAAGGTAAAAATTAAGGCTACTTTCCAGGTTTTTTTCTTGGGTGAGTGAATTAGTTACATGGCCACTCACTGGAACAGAGAATGTGGGCTGCGGGGCAGATTGTGTGTTATGTCCACCACTGGCAGGAAGGGGCGGGAACAGGAGGAAGAAATAATGATGTGTTCATGTGTTGAGTTTAAGATGCCTGAGGACTTTCTAATAGCAGATGAATAAATGAGTCTAAAACTTAGAGAGACAAGTCTGTCCGTAGCTACGAATTGTCAAAGTCATCTACATAAAGGTAATAGTGAAATCTATAAAAATAAGTGAGATCACATAAGAAAAAAATTTTAGTGAGAACAGAAAATTTCAGTGGGCTGAAATCAGAACCCTTAAGAATTCCCTTGCCACCAAAAACCTCTCCAACCTGAGCCTGCCTGTCACCACCACCATTTGATGAATTGCTACAACTAGATGTTCTCCATTCCCTGCTCCATAGCATATCCCTCCACCCCCAAACTGATTCCTTCTCACACCTATGACCACAAATAGCCCTCACACTGCCAATTCCAATCCTACCCTGAAGCAGCCACTATATAACTTCATTCATGGTAAGATCAGAGGTATAACATCTATCCTCTTGATTGTGCAGCATTATGTAAATATAATTAATACCGCAAAACTAATCGGAATGAAGAGAGTGATAGTACAAGGAAAGTTGGACTGGGGTCCAAGAGGCTACACCCAGAAAATATTTAAGCAATGACTCTTTTTTTTTCCTTTTGATTTGAGTGTGGAAGAACTGGACTTAACCTTCTAAAATCATTAATACAAGAATCCATCTCCCAAGCCTAAGCAGTTTCCCTTTATTCCCCATATTCTCTTTCCTAGGTTATCAAATGCAGAGCAGCCATACTCTGGAAGCCTAATGCACCATTTTCCATTGAGGAGGTAGAAGTGGCCCCACCAAAGGCAAAGGAAGTTCGCATAAAGGTAAAAAAAACAGCAACGACAACAAAAATAAAACCTTTTCCACACCAAAAATCAAATTTAGAAAGAAAACTGCACGCTCTTCTATTTCCTATTCATGAAACACATCCATTTGTCTTTAAATCTTTAAATCCAGCCAGAGAAAACACGAGGGAAGTACGGCACAGGCTAAATGCCCAAAGGATACTTACTCACAGCGGTAGTACTAAATACTAACTAAAAGAAGTTTCTACACTGAACCATACTTTAACCTGTACTTTTAAAATTTATTATGTTCTTCATGATATTTAAGTTATCTTGAAATATGATATATAAAAATTGTTTGATTATAGATAAATCAAGCCTAAATCCTAGAAAGTCAGGCTAGGAATACCTGTTATTTTACAGATGAGATCATTAAAAATCCACTGAGGTATAGTGACTGGTCACACAACTAAGTAGAGTGAGAACAATTTGCCACAATCTTGGTTACCCATTTGGAAGCACCTGGGATCTTTGAAAAATGCTGATAACTTGGTCCCACCCCCGGACATTCTGAATTTGTGATTTAATTGCTCTGGGGTGCAATATGGTCATGAGAGTTTTTAAATCTCCCCCAGGTGATTCTAACAGGGACCACCAGACCAGAACATTGTTCACCTGACTTGTAGTTCAGGGTCCTTTCATTGTTATTATTTAATTTCCATAATGATGAATAACTACTGCTTAGAACGGATTGCAAAGAGGCAGTCATTTTCTACATTAGCTTACCTGTGCAATCCAAGCCCTCTTTTCAGAGTCTTCTCAGCCTGCATCCCACACAGAGTGCACAGGGGCCTGCTTGTCTCTCCGCATTTGTTCCTCCCCACAGGGTCCCCACTCATGCAGCCAGACTGAGACACTGACTCAAAGATATACAACCATTATCTGACAAGCTACAAATGTGAATCTTTCGCCCCTGAATTTTAACAAGATACAGAACCTGAGTGGAACAGGAAATGATGGGAACTGCAGAGACAGGGTAGACTAGAGTTGCTAGCCATTTTTAACCACATAATCATGAGAAATAAGAAAAGGCATGTCTTTAGAAAATAACTGGAAACTTCATCTGTGCACATGATGAATCAGAGTACTGAAATGAAGATAAAGTCTACTTGATGAATTTCTAGATTCATGAGGCTTGGCTACTCTTCCTACAGTTGAGTTGTAAGCTATTTTATAGTATTCTTTCAATAATCCCTCTTTTACATAAGTAAATTTCAAAATTTCTCAATTCTTTTTTATCCTCACTTGAGGATATTTCTTTTTCATTTTTTTTAAAGAGACAGGAAGGGAGAGAGGAAGGGAAAGAGAGAGAGAGAGAAACATCAATGTAAGAGAGAAGCATCGATTAATTGGTCTGGGACTGAATCCTGGATGGGGATCATATGTGTGGAACTGAGTGACCAGGATTCACTCACACCCAGACCAGGGATTGAACCCACAGCTAAGGCATGTGCCCTGACTAGAATCTAACTTGTGACCTTTGTAAGATGACACACAACCAACTGAGCCATAGCTGTCAAGGCAGATGTCAGCCTCTGTTAATCAATGCTCTAGAGTGCCTCCATTTTAAACTGTCTGGCCAACTTACAACAAATGTGAAATTACAATTTGTACCAGTAATACAACTATAAAGCCCTTGTGTAAAATAAATTAAGGCTTCATGTGGGGGCAACTTTCATTACAAGTTGTCCCCCTGACCCCGCCTCGTGGGCCACAGATGAAAGTAAACACTACCAAGACATGATCTGCTTGGGGATGAAAGGTGGCTGATCCCTCAAAGGGGAAGGGCCAAGACCCCCCTGCTTAAGGGGCTTTTTACTGGGTTCATTTGCACAATACAGGTAAGGATCAAACAATAGATAGCATTCAAAGACCTATGAGTGCTTATTCTCAGTCAGGGTCAGATAGCTAACGAGCCATTAAACTTTGAGGAACAAACTTCTTGCTTGGACCCTTATCGTTTAAATGAGAGCATTCTAAACAAAGCAGGTTTCACAGGATTTTTACATATTCTTTCTTATGCCTGATTTACCCTGGTACAGGGCTGCACCACCCCCTGGGCTGCACAGCCTTCCCCATCATAGGTTTTTAGGCTTAAGTGGATTAGAGCCAGGCAGCACTTCTCCCAGGTGGAAATGGGGACTCAAGCTATGTCACAGTAGCAGGGGGAATGAGGGTCTATTGCTCCCTCTTTGTCGCAGCCCCCCTAGTCCTTCCATGATGGCCACCCAAGTGATCATGTCTGGCCTAGGTTGCCCCTCTCTGAGGACTTGTACCTGCCATAGACATCGACCATGCTTTGGGGGCAGGGGAAGAAGCAGAAGCAGCGCTTGCTGCCAGAGACAAGCTTTGTCTCCTGTGGCCTGCATTCCAGAGGTTGCTCACTTAGCCATGGGAGGCAGTTACAATTCCTGAAACCAGGCAGGGCAGTTCCCAACAGCTTCAATTATAATACGAGATAGTAATATCTTTTTTCTTCCTGTGTTCCATTTCCTTCATTACTATATTTGGTCTTTCTCCTCCACACTCCCACCCAGAAACTCCAATGAAGAACAAAGTAAGATCTTTGATGTCACACTGTGGTTTTACAATTGTCTCTTCGGAACTCATTCTGACATTCTCAATAAGTTTTAAAATCATTATTTTATTCTGAAATTAACTAATGAAAAATATTGCATTGCTTTAAATAAATTATTGGTACTTCTCTAGAAATAAAACTAAGAAATAAATGCATTAATATTAACGTGGCACATCAAATTAGCAAAAATATTTAAAATATTACCAATTCTAAAACACCTCTAGCTAATACAGAGAAAAATGTATTGCTCTTTGCCTTCCATACAGATCGTGGCCACAGGGCTCTGTGGTACAGAGATGAATGTGTTGGAGAGTAATACCTGTTATCCCATCATTCTGGGCCATGAAGGGGCTGGAATAGTTGAGAGTGTGGGAGAAGGAGTGAGCACCATAAAAACAGGTATGAATTGGCACCTGGAGTTAGGAAATAGCAGCAACTTAGAACCCACATCGAGAAAATATAAGATAAGGTGAAATAAAATGTGAAATGTTGCACAAGAAAAGAAATAATTATACATGATACAAAAATACTAAATGTATTATCACATTTTTCAGACCATAAAACACACCCAGGTTTTAGAGGAGGAAAATAGTAAAAAAAAAAATTTTGAAGCAAAAAATATGGATGGACATGGAGGACATTATGCAAAGTAAAATATGCTAAGCCAATCAGAGAAAGACAAATACCATATGATTTCACTCATATGTGGACTTGAATGAACAAACTGAACCAACAAGTAAAATAGAGTCAGACTCATACAGAGGAGACCAACAGCTCTGCGGGGGTAAGGGGATGGAGGGAAGGAGCAAATAAGAAAAAGAACTCATGGACATGGACAACAGTGTGGTGATAGGGAGGGTGTGGTGGTGTAAGAAGGTATAGGAGGATAATGTGATGGAAAATACAAAGTAAAAAATGAAATACTAAAAAAAATTTTAGTAAAGAAAAAGATAGGAAATAACATAAATATTTATAAATGTCCAGGAGACCAGGTAAATTAATTATGATATATCTATACAGCAGAATATTACATAACTACTAAACAAAATGAAAGCATGCTATATGTGCTAGAACAAGAAATCTCCAAGATATGTTGTTAAATAGAATACCAAGGCCTACTACAGGGTAAATAGAATGCTAGCCTTTATATTGTTAAAGGAGTTATATCTCTGAAAGATACCATTGAGTGAGAAGAGTAATTGTCTCTAGGGTGGGGACTGGAGACTAGGGGGCTAATTTTCATGCTTGTGCAGTTCAGTTGTTACCATATGTCTACATTACTTTTTTAAATATATTTTATTGATTATGCTATTACAGTTGTCCCATTTTTTTACCACTTCATTTTCCTCTACCCTGTAACTCCCCTCCCACCATCATTCCCTTACCTTAGTTCATGTCCATAGGTCATAAATGTAAGTTCTTTGGCTTCTCCATTCCCCATACTATTCTTATCCTCCCCCTGTCTATTTTAGAAGAAGTAGTTATGCTTCTTATTCCCTGTACCTTTTCCCCCATTATACCCCCTTCCCATCCCCACTGATAACCCTCCATGTGATCCCTATTTCTGTGAATCTATTCCTGTTCTAGTTGTTTGCTTAGTTCATTTTTTGGTTTTGGTTTTGTTCCTTCAGGTTCAGTTGCTGATATTTGTGAGTTTGTTGTCATTTTACTGTTCATAATTTTTATCTTCTTCTTTTTCTTAGATAAGTCCCTTTAAAATTTCATATAATAAGGGCTGAGTAATGATGTCCTCTTTTAATTTGACCTTATCTGGGAAGCACTATATCTGCCCTTCCATTCTTAATGATAGCTTTTCTGGATAGAGTAATCTTGGATGTAGGTCCTTGCCTTTCATGACTCAGAATACTTCTTTTCAGCCCCTTCTTGCCTACAAGGTTTCTTTTGAGAAAGCAGCTGATAGTCTAATGAGAACTCCTTTGTAGGTAACTGTCTCCTTTTCTCTTGCTGCTTTTAAGATTCTAGCCTTATCTTTAATCTTGGGTAATATAATTATAATGTGTCTTGGTGTATGCTTCCTTGAGTCCAACTTGTTTGGAACTCTCCGAGTTTCCTGGACTTCCTGGAAGTCTAGGGAAGTTCTCCTTCACTATTTTTTAAAATAAGTTTTCAATTTCTTGCTCTTCCTCTTCTCTTTCTGGCACACCTATGATCTGAATGTTGGAACGTTTAAAGTTGTCCTGGAGGTTTCCAATCCTCTCCCTATTTTTTTGAATTTTTATTTCTTCATTCTGTTCTGGTTGAATATTTACTTCTTCATTCTGCTCCAAATCATTGATTTCAGTCCCAGTCTCCTTCCTGTCACTGTTGGTTCCTGTACATTTTCCTTTATTTCACTTTTCATAGCCTTTATTTTTCCTTCTAATTTTTTACTATACTCAACTCTTTCTGTGAGCATCCTGATTACCAGTGTTTTGAACTGTGCGTCTGATAGGTTGGCTATCTCTTCATTGCTTAGTTGTATTTTTTTCTGGTTCTCTGATCTGTTCTTTCATTTGGGCCATAATATTTGTCTCAGAACACCTGTTAGGTAGTAAGGGGTAGAGCCTTAGGTATTCGCCAGTGCTGGGCAACCCACATGTGTGTGTTATAGCACTCTATGTGGGGGTGGTCCAAGAGGAAACAATGCCGCTTGCTCAGTTCTCTGCCAACTTTCAGTCACTTCCTCTGCTACCCACAAACAAATTGGGCCCTTCTGGTGCCGAATCCAGGGGTGGTGGGTTCATGTGCATTCTAGGACCCTGTGGGTTTTTCCAATGAACTGTAGTTTCTCCCGCCACCGCAACTCCCACTGATTTTTTCAGTCAAAGGTTATGAGGCTTTATTTCCCCATGCTGAAACCCTGGGTTGCGCTGTTTGCGTCACTCCCCAGTTGTTCCTCCCAGTTTATCTTCATACAAATGTGGGACCACCTGCTCCATTGGCCACTGCCTTGCTGTAGGTCCTCTCTGCCCAGCTGCCCATCTCCACTCCTCCTACCAGTCTGGATGAATGTTTCTTCTTAACTCAGTGGTTGTTGGACTTCCATACAGTTCAATTTTTCTGACAGTTCTGTTTTTTGTGTGTGTTTTTAAATTTGTTGTTGTCCTTCTTTTGGTTGTGCAAGGAAGCAAAGTGTACCTACCTATACCTCCATCTTGGCTGGAAGTCTCTACATTATTTTTTAAAAACTAAAAATAAATTTTAAATGAACCTAAATTCTACAAAGGTTTTTTTACTAAAAATATGAAATGAATTGCTCTAGTTTACAGTGATAGACAGTGGGCAGTCACACTCCATCACAGGCTTTGAACACTTGACTATTGTAAATTGTGCTGCTATGAACATTGGGTGCATAGGTTTTTTTGAATTGGTGTTTCAGGATTCCTAGGGTATAGTCCCAGCAGTACAATTGCTGAGTAATAGTGAAGTTCCATTTTTAGTTCTCTGAAGAAATTCCATATTGTTTTCTGTGGCTACACCAGTGGCTATACCAGTCTATATTCACAACAGTGTACTAGGTTCCCTTTTCTCCACAACCTCACCTTGTTGTATCTTGATTTGGTTATGATGGCCATTCTGGCTGGTGTGAAATGGTATCTCATTGTGGTTTTAATTTGCATCTCTCTGATGGCTAGTGATGCTGAATATCCTTTCATATGTCTCTGGACCCTCTGTATGTCCTTCTTGGAGAAATGTTTGCTCAGGTCCTTTGCCCATTCATTAATTGGATTGTCTTCCTGGAGTGGAGTCATGAGAGTTCTTCATATATTTTGGAGATCAAACCCTTTTCTGAGGTATTATTTGCAAATTTATTTTTTCATACAGTTGGTTCCCTTTTCATGTTGCTGATGTTTTCTTTAGCCGTGCAGAAGCTTTTTATTTTGATGAGATCCCATTTGTTTATTCTTTCCTTTATGTCCTTTGCTCTAGGAGATATATCAGTGAAAATATTGCTTAAAGAATATCTGAAATTTTCCTCCCGCTATTCTTCTCTAGGACTTTTATGATGTCATGACTTAGAGTTAAGTCTTTTATCCACCTTGAGTTTATTTTTGCATCTGTTGTAAGTTGGTGGTCAAGTTTCACTTTTTTTTTTTTTTGCTTGTAGCTGTACAAATCTCCCAACACCATTTGTTGAAGAGGTTATCTTTACTCATTTTATGCTTCTGCCCTCTTCATCAAATATTAATTGACCGTAGAGACAGATTTATTTCTGGGCTCCCTATTCTGTTCCATTCACCTATATGCCTGTTCTTATCAAAACAAGACAGGTTTGATTACAGCGGTCTTGTAATACAGTTTAATATCAGGTTTTGTAATCCCTCCTACTTTGTTCTTCTTTCTCAAAATTGCTGCTGCCATTCAGGGTCATTAGTAGTTCCATATAAATTTTTAAAAAGTTATTCTATACCTGAGAAATATGTCATTGGTATTTTGATAGGGATTGCTTTGAATCTATAAATTGCTCTGGGTAGTATGGACATCTTGATGATGTTATTTCTTCCAATCCATGAACACTGTACATGCTTCCATTTATTTGTATCTTCCTTAATTTCTTTCTTCAGTGTTGTGTAGCTTTCTGAATATAGGTCTTTTACCTCCCTGGTTAGGTTTATTCCTAGGTACTTTATTTTTCTTGTTGCTATAGCAAATGAGATTTTTTTACTGCTATTTCATTGTTGGTGTACAAAAATGCCTTTAATTTCTGAATATTGGCCTTGTATCCCACTATTTTGCCAAATTCACTTACTAGATTGAGTAATTTTTTGATAGAGTCTATAGGATTTTCTGAGTATGCAATCATGTCATCTGCGAACAATGACAGTTTTGCTTTCTACTTTCCAATCTGGATGTATTTTATTTCTTTTTCTTGTCTGAATGCTTTGGCTGGGACTTCCAATACTATATTGAATAGAAGTGGTGAAGGTAGACACCTTTGTCTTACTCCTGATCTTAGTGGAAAAGCTTTCAGTTTTTGCCTATTGAGTATGATGTTGGCTGTCAATCTCTCATATACAATCTTAATTATGTTGAGGAATGCTCTCTCTACTTCCACTTTGCTAAGTGTTTTTATTATAAATGGGTGTAGTACCTTATCAAATGCTTTTTCTGTATCTATTGATATGACCATGTGATTTTTGTCTTTCCTTTTGTTTATGTGATGTTATTATGTTTATTGATTTGCTAATATTGTACCATCCATGCATCCCTGAGATGAATCCCACTTGATCATGGTGCTTAATCTTTTTTGATGTATTGCTGGCTGTGGCTTGCCAGTATTTTAGCATCTATGTTCATCAGCAACATTAGCCTGTAGTTTTCTTTCTTTGTTTTGTCTTTGTCTGGTTTTGGGATTAGGATGATGCTGGTTTCATACAAAGAGTTTGGGAGTCTTCTCCTTCTTGGATTTTTTTTTGGAAAGTCTAGAAGAATAGGGCTTAGCTCTTTCTTAAGTATTTTGTAAAATTCTCCAGTCAGGTCTGGGGATTTTGTAGGCTGGGAGTTTTTTGATTACTGCTTCAATTTCATCAGCTGTTGTTGGTCTGTTCAGACTTTCTGCTTCTTCTTCATTGAATTTTGGAAGATTATATTTTTCTAAAAATTTGTCCATTTCACCTAGGTTTTCAAATTTCTTGGCATGTAGTTTTTTTTTTGGTCAAAAACAAAGTGTTTTAAAATAAGATTATTCTTCCTTAATCATCTCATACCCTCAGGGGTTTTTTTTTGCTTTATATATATATTTATTTAATTATTGTTCAAGTACAGTTCTCTGTCTTTTGCTCCTTTCCCATCCCACCCCCTGGTGCTCCCCACCTTCCTCCCATTTCCACCCCCCTTAGTTTTTGTCCAGGTGTCCTTTATACTTGTTCCTGTAAACCCTTCCCCTTTTCCCCTGAAATTCCCTCCCCTCTCCCTCTGGTCCCTGTCAGCCTGTTCTCTATTTCAGTGTCTTTGGTTATATTTTGCTTGCTTGCTTGTTTTTTTGTTTGGCTTCCTGTTAAAGGTGAGATCATATGGTATTTGTCTTTCACTGCATGGCTTATTTCACACAGCATAATGCTTTCCAGTTCCATCCATGCTGTTGCAAAGGATAGGAGCTCCTTATTTCTTTCTGCTGCATAGAATTCCATTGTGTATATGTACCATAGCTTCTGGATCCATTCATTTATTGATAGGTACCTACGTTGCTTCCACCTCTTGGCTATTGTAAATTGTGCTGCTATGAACATTGGGGTGTACAGGTTTTTTTGGATTGGTGTTTCAGGAAATTTTCTAAGAAAACTAAAAATGAGTATGCCTTTTGACCCAGTAATTCCATTGCTAGGATTATATTCTAAGAACCCTGGCATACAGTTCTTCATAGTAATTTCTTACAATCTTTTGTATTTCTGTGGTATCAGTTGTAATCTCTCCTCTTTCATTTCTGATTGTTTATTTGGGTCCTCTCTCTTTTTTTCTTGATGAGCTTGCTTGAAGGTTTGTTGATTTTGTTTATCTTTTCAGAGAACCAGCTCCTGGATTTATTGATCCTCAGAATTGTGCTTTTAGTCTCTATGTTGTTTAATTCTGCTCTCCCCTCGGTTATTTCTTTCCTTCTACTTCCTCTGGGCTATCTTTGATGTTTTTCTTCGAGTTCTTGTAGGCATAGGGTTAGGTTGTTTATTTGAAATGTTTCTATCTTTTTTTAGCTAGACCATGAACTTCCTTCTCAGGATTGCCTTCACTGTGTCCCATAAGTTTTGAACTGTTGTGAGTTCATTTTAATTTGTTTCCAGAAACTTTTTGATTTCTTTTTTGATCTCATTCTTAGCCCATTCCTTGTTTAATCACATGCTCTTCAGTCTCTATGAATTTAAATGTTTTTGAGTTTTTTCCTTGAGGTTCATTTCTAGTTTCAGTCCCCTGTGGTCTGAGAAAATGCTTGATATGATCTTAATTTTCTTGAATATGTTGTGGCTTGTTGTGTGTCCTGTCAAGAGGTCTATCTTGGAAAATGTTCCATGTGCTTTGGAAAAAAAAGTGTATTTTGCTTCTTTAGGATGAAAGGCTCTATATATATCAGTTAAGTCCATTTGATCTAGTACATTGTTCAATGCTGCAATATTCTTGCCGATATTTTGTTTGGAAGATCTATTCATTTTTGACAGCGGGATGTTAAAATTTCCTACTATGCCCTGGCTGGTGTAGCTCAGTGGATTGAGTGCAGGCCTGTGAACCAAAGGATCAGAGTTTGATCTCCAGTCAGGGCACATGCCTGGGTTGCAGGCCAGTTCCCAGAAGTGAATAGCAACCATACATTGATATTTCTCTCCCTCTCTCCTTCCCTTCCCCTCTAAAGAGAAATAAATAAAATCTTTTTTAAAAATCTTAAAATTTTCTACTATAATTGTGTTGCTGTCTGTACCTTTCTTGAAGCCCTTCAAAATTTTCCTTATATATTTGGGTGCTCCTATGTTGGGTGCATATGTTTACAATGTTTATATCTTCTTGATGGATTCTTCCCTTGAGTATTATCAAGTGTCTTTCTGGGTCTCTTTTTATGGCCCTTGTTTTGCAGTTTACTTTGTCTGATATAAGTATCAGTCATTTTTTTCCCTGTCCATTCGCGTGGAATATTTGTTTCTACCCCTTCACTTTCAGTCTGTGTAGGTCTTTTGTTCTGAGGTGGGTCTCTTGTAGGCAGCATATGTGTGGGTCATGTTTTCTTATTCATTCAGCTATTCTGTGTCTTTTGATTGGAGCACTTAACCCATTTACATTTTAAGGTTATTATTGATAGGTACTTATTCATTTCCATTTTACTGCCTTTATTCCTTTGTCTCTCTCTCCCTCACTCTTTTTCTTTCTTTTCTTAAAGCAGTCCCTTTATCATATCTTACAGAACTGGTTTAGTGGAGGTGTGTCCTTTTAGCCTTGTTTTGTCTGGGAAACTCCTTATTTTGCCTTCCATTTTAATTGAGAGCCTTGCTAGATAGAGTAGCCTTGGTTGCAGGTCTTTGTTTTTTATTACTTGGAATATTTCCTGCCATTCCCTTCTTGCTTGTAGCAATTCCATTGAGAAGTCAGATGCTAGCCTTATCTGGGCTCCCTTGTTTGTTACCTTCTATTTCTCCCTTGCTGCCTTTAAAATTCACTTTTTGTCTTGGAATTTTGCCATTATAATTATCATGTGTCTTCCTGTGAGCCTCTTTGGGTTCCTCTTGATTGAGACCCTCTCTGCCTCCTGGATTTGTGTGACTTTTTCTCTCATCAAATTAGGGAAGTTTTCCATCATTGTTCCACTTGTTCAAGCAGGTTTTCTATACATTGCTCTTCTTCTTCTCCTTCTGGTATCCCTATCATATGGATATTTTTGTGTTTCATGTTGTCCTGCATGTCCCTTTGAACTCAATATCTGATAGCTGACTTCCCTCTATTTCATTGAGCATTCTTTCTGAGGATTCCTCTTTTTCTTTCATCTGGGGTTTGTTTATTTGTCTTCCCTTTGTTTGTGAGACTTTTCTTGTTAACCTCTGCTCCTTAAATTGATCTGTTCTGACTCCCTGAGTTTGTGGTCTGAACTTCTATGGTAGGAGACCTGTGTGATTCAGTGGTATAGTCTCCTTGATCTCCTGAACCTAATGCTCTTGTGATGCCGTTTATGTTGGCTCTCTGGTTGTATTTGAGTTTTGATTGTTGTTAGTTCCTTCTTTGGTAGATTCTTCCCTCCAGCTGGTTGAGTAAGGGTCACTCTGCCCACCATATTTTGTACACTGTTGTCTCTTTACTTTAAAAGATAACATGTCATTAAATGATATTTTTTTCTCTCAGGTGATAGCGTTATCACACTCTTTCTACCACAGTGTGGAGAATGTGCCTCTTGCCTTAATTCCAAGGGCAATTGTTGTGTGCAAATGAAGTAAGTTTTCTAAAATTTTCTTTTTGAAAAATTAATTCAGTGTCCTTGGCAGGAATCTGAGTTTTCTTATTCAAAATAAAATTTTTTGTTTGTTTTTTTGTTCTATAAAAGACAGTCATACACCCACGTGATGTCTGACGGTACCAGTAGGTTTACCTGCAAGGGAAAACCAGTATATCACTTTGCAAATACAAGCACCTTCTCTGAATACACAGTAATAAGAGAAATATCAGTTGCCAAGATTGATAAAGTTGCACCTCTGGAGAAAGTATGCCTAATTAGCTGTGGTTTTTCCACTGGGTATGGTGCTGCAATCAATACTGCCAAGGTGAGAAGCATTTACACCATTTATAAATGAAATTCTTTGGGTATGGTTTGGGTATGGTTGAAATTCCTTGTGTATCTGGACCATTCCTGATCATACAAGCTGAGGAAGGCTCACAAACTTGCCTTTGAACATCCTTATATCCTCTTTAAAGTCTTTCCCATTATCTCTTGGTCAATAGTAAATGACAAATTATTTCTGAATGCCATTCACAAGTTGAGACATCAGGAATTCCTGGGAGTTAAACATAATACATTTACAAAATGACTATGTGTCCTTCCACATTTCAGTTCAGTGCAGGGATTCAGCAGCTAACAAAACTCACTGACCCTCTATTCTGTTGTATAATTAATCAGGTGGTGATTATTGCTCATTAAAAAAAAAAAGGAGAGTAACAAGACCAACTGAGAAAAGGGTGGTGATGCTATATAGAACAGGTTGGCTAAGCAATGCCACCATGACTGAGTGGAATACTATTATACTTCTGTTTTGGAACATCACCCAGCCCTGCCCAGCTCCATTCTTTAATTGTCTGTTGAATTTTAGTTCTTTATCTTTCCCAATTTCTATTAGTTCCAATACTGTATACATAGATAACATGAAATTTAATTTGAGACCCAATAAAAAGTCTCATTTGAGACCCAATAAAAAAATAAACCTTTGTACCAGACAACTGTACTTGAACAACAATAAAACATGTGAAAAAATTAAATTAAATTTTAAAAAATAAGGCTTTGCCTTCATAAGATGTTCACAGGAAAAGAGAAAGGAAGAGTTGCAATAAGATGGAGATGGTTTTTAAAGAACTCAAAAATATCTGGAATTAAATAAATACTGTGCTAAATAAGTCTTGAGACTCAATGAAAGTTTATTAAACTGCTTCTACCCATGCTAATTCCTGGGTTGAAACTCTCTATTTGCAGGTAGCTTTTTGCTCCTCTGGCAAAAAGTATCCCATATTTAGAAATACCTTGAGAAACTACATCTTTAGTTGTTTCATTTAAAAATACACTTTGCTTATGTATCAGATGGTGTATACAGAGTTGATTTTTCCAACTGAGTAAATGTGCATATTCTCTTGTTTTTATACTTTTATGTGCTCAGGTGACCCCGGGCTCCACCTGTGCGGTGTTTGGCCTTGGCGGAGTCGGCCTGTCTGTGATCATGGGCTGTAAAGTGGCTGGAGCAGCCAGGATCATTGGGGTGGACATCAACAAAAGCAAATTTGAGAAGGCAAAGGAATTGGGTGCCACTGAGTGTATCAGCCCACAGGACTTCAAGAAACCTATCCAAGAAGTTTTAGTTGATATGATAGGAGCTGGTGTGGAATTTTGCTTTGAGGTCATTGGGAATCCAGAAACAGTGGTATGTGATCCTGTGGAGTAAAAATTACCGGTATTTCTACCACTCATCACTATAGATTTTAACTAAATGAAAATTCTAAAATTTCTTCCATATTCATTTTTTAAATTTTATTGTGCCCCATGACATCCCACTTGATACCCTCTGTCCACTCCTACAAACCTGTTTATTACCCTAGACACTGAACTCCTCATAAGGTTTCTTCTCCCTCTGTTCCATGATGCTATTCCTTCAAATAAGCAGATGACCTCTAATTAGCAGGACAGAAAGACTTTATAAACAATTCTCACTGGATTATTTATAACAAGAGAAAGCTCAGTAATTAATTTCCAAGCCAGGAGATTTAGGCAAGTTAAGGCCAATATTGGATTAATGATCTTATAAAGGAATGAGCTTTGTTTGCACTTTCAACAAAGTCTTTCAGGTTGGATCTGAGAAGCTTCCAAGGAAAATATTTACCATTCTTGGTTAAGTAGATTCATTCATTTCAAAAATAAAGAAAAAAGTTCCCTAACCACTTTGGCTCATTTGGCTGGGCATCTTCCCACAAAGTGAAAGATCACAGGTTGAGTTCCTGGTCGGGGCATGTGCCTGGACTGTGGGTTCAGTCCCTAGTCAGAGGCAATGGATTAATGTTTCTCTCCCTCTCTTCTTTCCTCCCTTCCCCTTTCTTTGAACATAAAAAATAATATAATTTTTTTAAAAAACTAAATTAAAAGTTTAACCAAAAAATAAATAAATAATAAAGGAAAAGAGTTGTTGCTTCTCTGGCCAACCATGGTTTACATAAGAGAATATAAATGGAGGAGAATTTATTTCAATTTATTTCAATTTTAGACTTGCTTTCTTAGGGGATTTGTAGAAACAATGTATTATTGGGCTGCATGGCTCTCTCTTCTAGTCAGCTATATGAGAACTCAAGAACTGAGTCCTCCAGTCTAAGTCCTTTCTTCAGCTTACAAAATCTTTTCATTCCTCACTACACATAAACCTCCTCTTCTGTTAAAAGATATAGGAAAACCTTTCTCATGGTCTTTCCTATAGATGGTCTGGTTCTGATAAATAGCCTTCAAAAATAACTAATGGAAACATTAGTTTATTGCTTTGCTAATAATACAAAATGATAAACAAATATCCAATTGTACTTTTTAAAAAATATTTTATTTATTTATTTTCAGAGAGGGAAAGGGAAGGAGAGAGGGAGAGAAATATCAATGTGTGGTTGCCTCTCATGTGTCCCCCACTGGGAACTGGCCTGCAACCCAGGCATGTGTCCTGACTGGGAATTGAACTGTGATCCTTTGCTTCACAGGCCCGCGCTCAATCCACTGAGCTACACCAGCCAGGGCCCAATTGTACTTTTTGATATCTAAAAGAACATGTCAACTTTAACCATCAGTATCAGTAATGGTCTTATAAAAATTAGCAGCAGCAGCAGCAGCAGTAGTAGTAGTAGTAGTACCATGGGTACCTTCAGTATTTTCATTTTTTAATTTCCATCTATTGAATCTAAAATGCCAATGTGTGTGTGTGTGTGTGTGTGTGTGTGTGGCAGTACACAATATCTTATTTATGTTTCTGCATATCTTTATATAAGAAATGTTATTTGAAATGAGGACAAAGAGAAACAGAAAAGGTCACAGACCATTCAGCAGTCAAGCTGAGATTTAGACTTTGGTCTTCACCTCTGAAGTACATGTCTTAACCCCTGTGTTGTCTTGCATTGCTCTCCAACAGGCAGCTGCGCTGGCTTCCTGCCATGAGAGCCATGGGGTCTGTGTGATTGTTGGGCTCCTCAAGTATGGTGTCCAACTCAAAATCGATGGCTTCTTGTTCTTATCAGGACGCACTTTGAAAGGAACTGTTTTGGGAGGTATGGATCAAGCAGGGAAGAATGAAAATCTGTGGGGGTTTGAAGTTGGGGTAATAGAGAATTGTATCATAAACGCTTGAGGAGGCACATAAAGCAAGACCTTTAGACTAAAGTATTTGTTTCAACACATAAATGTCCAAGATGAGGGGGTTGATATTTTATGTCTACAGTTGCTAGTTGGTAAGATTTTTCTCATACAAAGGTAGAAAAGAGACTTAAAAACTGGTAAAGAAACCACTGTCCAATTTTAATGCAAATTTAAAAATTGAAAAAGAATGGCAAATTTATGATCAATAACTATACTTCACTTGGATTATAATACCTGCCAACTGGGGTTCTTTGTAGGACAGAAGTATATTGAACCATTAGTAGTCATTGTTCAACAATGTAAACCTCATCTGAAAGAAATGAATTGTCACTATACCAACTCAAAGATATTAAACATAATAGATTCATGATTTTAAAAATACTACTGATAAGAAGACAAATGAGAATTATTTTTCAAGAGAAAAAATTTATAAAATACTTTGATTTTTCATGTTTTCAATTTGTGTTAGAAATGTTTTTATAAACTTTAGAAGTCCTGTACTAAAAGTGTTTTGAGTGGGGTAGAGGAAGTGATGAGGGGGAAAGAGACAACTGTACTTGAACAACAATAAAAAAAGGAAAAACAGGGCTTTAAAAAATTAAATAAATCTGCTTAGGATCCTTGGCTTATAAGCAAGTCATTTGTTATTTAAGAAGAAATGTATTTAGGCAGAGATTTTATGCAATCTGAATTCTTGAGCAAAAGAGATGAGAATTTGGAGTTATATAAATTATTTGAGCTAGTGCGCTAGCTGTGGTCTTCAAATTAGCTACATGTGAAGACCAATTAGATACATTTTTGTAGGTATAAAGAGTCTCACCCTATTCATTCACAAAAAGTAGGTAGAAGACAGACAGAAAAAAAATAATACTCCAGTTTAAACTATAGTTTTCACTTCTCCCATTCGGGATAATTTAACATGCCCGTTGTTGCTTCCCTCTGTGTGTTTATAGACCATAACTGTTGGTTCCATATACATATACTCAGCCAACTTTTATAAAATGCGATCAGCAATATTTTAAATAATCCTCATAAAGAAACTATTTCACCCACCACTTAAACATCCTTGTAGTGATCATTAAGTACATTTCCTCCTCTGGTTCAACATTTTCAATTAAGGACAGCATTTAATGGGTGTTGGACAGGTCTGCTAAACCTTCTGCAATGCACACAATGAAGAATTTTCCCACCCAAAATGCTATTAGTGGTCTTGTTAAGAAACACCACTGAGCCTAGACTGTGGTACTTGAGCCTTTCTTTTTAGAATGTTTGGTTAAAATAAGAAACAAAAAAATGAGCGAAAGTATTTCATATATATATATATACATGTATGTATACATATATATATATGTATATATAAAAATGCTTTATCAGATAACCAGTCAAAAAATAAAAACAGCCCCAACTGGTGTGGTTCAATGAGTTGGGCATCATATTGTGGATTGAAAGGTCATTGGTTCAATTTTCAGTCAGGGCACATGTCTGGGTTGCAGGCCAGGTCCCCAGTTCAGGGCAAAAGGCAACCAACTGACGTTTCTTTCACGCATCAACATTTCTCTCCCTCTTTTACTCTCCCTTTCCCCTCTCTAAAAATAAATAAATAAAATATTTTAAAATAGACAAACATATAAAACAAAGAAAGTAGATCTTAAAATTTGTCATCACAAGAAAAAATGTATAACCATGTGTCATGATGAATGTTAATTTAATAATAATTATTTTAGAATATATACATACATCAAATCATTGTTATATAATGAAAACTAATATAATGATATTTCTAAACTTAGTTTAATAGTAATTATTTCCAAATATATACATACATCAAATTATTATATTGTACAATGAATATAATACAACCATATCACAAGTTTTGAAAAAACAAATAGAAAAATACACTAACCCTTTATATCATGACTTATAGCATGTTAGAATTATTGATAACATATAACAGAAACCAACTTATATGCAAAATATATTCATTGGAATAGTTTTAGGTAATTTTGAGAATAATTGGGAAGACTGAAGAATATGCCCCAGGCTAATACCAAGAAAAACAAATAACTGCCAAGATCTTGTCACAGAATAAGCTGTTCAAGACACTGTTGCCCCCTTGCATAATTACAGCACACTCACCCTTTCCAGAAACAAGCAGGTCACCAATTCTGTGTGGTGACTTGCTGAGTATGTTGCTTACCACAGTTCTAATGTAAAAATAAAAGTTCATGAAAATTATGAAAACAGAAAATATAATGTTAAGCTTCTGTTCACTTGGCTGAGCTCATCTTTCCCTATTCAATTCTTACTTCCAGAAAGCACATTTTACTCTTATCTTGTTTTGTACACATTTTTTCCCAAAGTTGTTGCTGAGACCATTGCCATGGGGAAAATTCTTCTCTTCCTTTAAGATATTTGGTTCTTCCATGAAACTACAGATCAAACACACACACACACACACACACACCATGTCCTTCTAAACTTTGAATTGCTTCATTTCATGGTTCCCAAGGCTTTGCCTTTTTTATATGTTAGATGTAGGTTTACAGCTCCCCAGACAGTGCAACCTGACACCAAGAACATATAAGACAAGGTCAACAGTGCACTTGCTTTAAGTAAATCCCTGTAGTAGCAGGGGTCTCAAGATTTTCAGAACAGCCTTCTATACAAGTTATACTGTTGGTACAGGCATTCTCCTGATGACTGAGAGACTTCCTCAGTCAAAGCCAACACCTCCAGCAGTTAACCTATATGGCCTTCTTGTAGAGTAAGTCTCATGAACAGAATCTGTTGTTAATCTGTTCTATTTCCAGGCTGGAAAAGCAGAGAAAATGTCTCTCAACTGGTTTCTGAATATATGGCAAAGAAGTTTAATTTAGATCCACTAATTACTCATAACCTGAAACTTGAGAAAATCAATGAAGCAGTTGAATTAATGAAAACTGGAAAATGGTAAGTTCCTCCAGTAATTTTTACGCATGGGTGGGATGAAGAGAAAGGGTGTGTAGAAGTCAGGGATGATGGGGGAGGGGGCATCATGGCTGGAGAAGCCACCTACAGACAACAGAAGAAGGTTTCAGGAATTTGTAAAGCATATCCTTCCCCTCTTTATTTTATTTCCAGTTTTTAGAAAATGTAATCCTGAAAATATTTAAGTGTTCACCTACCCTTACCATTGGTATTTTATTTCCAATTTTGCATTGTTATATGATGCATTAACTAATGATGTTAGACCATAAAATTTTAACTCAAGTTTAAATTCATAGCTTATAAAAAGGTAATTGTTTTGTTCTATTTCATTGCTTTGTTCAATTACCCCTAGAATTCCAAATTCTGACACCTATATTTGGCCCACAAACCAAACACCAACTGTAAATTGGACACTGGCATTCCCCACAATGGTATAAGCCTGCTTAAATATTTCTTACTCTTGGAGCTTCGTGTCATTTTGAAAAAATCTCTCAACGATTTAATCTGCCCATTCTTTCACAGAATATGAAAAGAACCTACCTTACTTACTGGCCTACAAACTAAAAATTTGAATCCAAAACACAAACGTTGCTTTGGAAATTTTCAACTTACTTTTTTTTCCCTTCCTTTTTTTTTTTTTTTTCAGTATCCGCTGTGTCCTAATACTTTAAGTGCAATGTAATGAAAATGCAAGATCTGCAGGATATTTCGCCAACTGAATTGCATTCTGCATAATTTCCATGATTTAGAAGAATTATCGCACAATACTGTTGCTATCTTCCTGCCTCTAATGAATTTAGTAGTGAGCTTATGTCTGACTTCTGCTCTCACCACCTCATCGAAATTTATCTCATGTGACCCAGTCTCACCCAGGGATACCCTCCCTTTTAGAGCTAGATCAATGTTAATTTGAACCACTAAATTCCAAACACTTCAAACAACACAGTCACCCCCAAAATACTCCCATTTTCATAGTTGTCTCTACCTCTGGGCCCGTGTTTCTTTTCACACTATATTTCTCAACCGCTTGATGATCGCTTATTTCATGCCAAAGAATCAAAACTCACCATTCATGAGTTTATTGAACATTCAGTTTGAAGCAAGCTGATGGAAGTGGAGGTGGGGTCTTTATTACATCAACTTAAATAAATTCCAATTAAACATTAAGTATTTCATTCTTTTTTAACATATTTTATTGATTATGCCATTACAGTTGACCTATTTCCCCCCTTCATTCCCCTCCACCCTGCACACCCCCTCCCCCACCATTTCCCCCCTTTTAGTTTATGACCATGTGTCTCAAGTTCTTTAAATTCTATATTTCCCCTACTATTCTTGCCCGCCCCCCATCTGTTTTCTACCTACCATCTATGCTACTTATTCTGTGTTCCTCCTCCTTCTCCTTCTCCCACTCCCCTGTTGCTAACCCTCCATGTGATCTTCATTTCTATGGTTCCGCTCCTGATCTAGCTGTCCTCTTAGTTTGCTTTTGTTTAGTTGTGGTTGTTAATAACTGTGAGTTTGCTGTCCCTTCACTGTTCATACTTTTTATGTTCTTTCTCTTAGGTAAATCCCTTTAACATTTCATATAATAAGGGCTTGGTGATGATGAACTCCTTGAACATGACCTTATCTGAGAAGCACTTTATCTGCCCTTCCATTCTAAATGAAAGTTTTGCTGGATAGATCAATCTTGGATGTAGGTATTTGGATTTCATGACTTGGAATACTTCTTTTCATCCCCTTCTTGCCTGTAAGGTCTCTTTTGAGAAATCAGCTCACAGTCTGATAGGAACTCCTTTGTAGGTGACTATCCCCTTATCTCTTGCTGCTTCTAGAATTCTCTTCTTCATTTTAATCTTGGGTAATGTAATTATGATGTTCCTTGGTGTGTTCCTCCTTGGGTCCACCTTCTTTGGGACTCTCTGAGCTTCCTGGACTTCCTGGAAGTCTATTTCCTTTGCCAGATTGGTGAAGTTCTCCTTTATTATTTGTTCAAATAAGTTTTCCACTTGTTGCTGTTCCTTTTCCCCTTCTGGTACCCCTATAATTCGAATGTTGGAACATTTAAAGATGTCCTGGAGGTTCCTAAGCCTCTCCTCATTTTTTTGAATTCTTGCTTCTTCACTCTTTTCTGTTTGGCCATTATTTGCTTTCTTCTGGTCCACTCCATTGACTTGAGTCCCAGTTTTCTTTCCATCACTATTGGTTTCCTGTACATTTCCCATCATTTCAATTAGTTTAGCCTTCATTTGTTTCTCTAATTTGTGACTAAAATCAACCAGTTCTGTGAGCACCCTGATCACCAATGTTTTGAACTGTGCATCTGATAGGTTGGTTATATCTTAGTCACTTAGAGTTATAGGCTCTCAGACTTTGAGTTCTTCTTGAGCCATGTTTTGGTCTGTTCGTGCCTGTTATGTACGAGGAGCGGAGCCTTAGGTGTTCACCACGGAAGTGCCACCCAGGTCACTGGGTTGTGATGCTGTATGTGGGAGTGGGGTCAAAGAGGGGCAATAGTGGTCCCCTCTGCTGCTTCCTGCTGCTGGGGCCTGCGCAGTCTTGTCTCACTGCTTGCTCCTTTGCTGGTTTATCTGCGTGCGAATGTGTGACCACAGTCAGCCTGCCATCTTGTGCCCTCACTGGGTTTTCTCGTTGCTACCTCACACCTGGGATCCGCCCATGGCTGCCTGCATGCCTGCATCAGGGGACCTTTCCTGCCCAACCATGCTCCACCTCTCCTACTGGTTTGGCTGAATGGTTCGTTGTTGTCAGACTTCCATATAGTTCAATTTTCTGTGTTTTGGCAAGGTTTTTGTTACTAAAACTTTATTGTCTTTAAACTTGGTTGTGTGAGAAGGCACAATGTTTCTACCTACACCTCCATCTTGGCAGAAGTCCAAGTATTTCATTCTTAATATTACTCACCCCAGAAAAACTTCAACTGGTATTTCACCTTATATAACCTGGCCTGAAACCATCACTTATAATATCTCTGTGGTACTCACCTTTTCTCTTGTGGATTGCCATAGGAACTTCAAATTGCTCTTTAATTGGCCAAGACAATTTAGCTCTCAGAAGTTCATATTACCTGGCTTCATAACCAAGCCATCTGGAATTCAACAGAAAGAGAAAAGGGCTTGAGGGGAAGCCCTTTTGCTTTAAACCCTATTGCTTAAAACCACATCTGCCTCCTATACTTCCTGGGATGCAGCTGTGGTTTTAAGCAATAAAACTGGCTATTATTCCACTCTCTAAGGAAATAGAGGATACTTGCATAGTTCAATACAAAGGTGTGTCACAGAGTCTTTTCTCCAAGAATAGGATGAGAGAAAGACAAGATCCAACAGTGATTTGTGGCATCCAATTCTTTTCCATCCATGCCCCAACCCCTCTGCCCTAATCACTCTTAATTCTCCTAGAATCTGGGGTAATATCAAACCCTCTTGGGATATGGCTTCTTTCCTATCCCCTGATATAGATTGGGTCTCTTTCTAACCTTCTCCCCCAGTACGCACACCAGGAGCTTCCTTCCTATTTAAAGTCTCTTCTGCTGCATCTTGGGCTTCCCTACATCTAAACCCACTGGATTAGACAGGGATCCAACAAGGAAAAAATGGTTAACTTAAATTTCAGCTAATACTTTTTTGATTTGCTGTTTACTGTCAACACTTTGTACAAACACAGTTGTCCTTAGGGCCTTTCCCCCTCCAACCTACAAATTTTAAAAAATGGCTTCTACATTTATTTAGTTCAACCTGCTATCTCTATTAAAATCAGAGAAGGGGCCTGGGTCCCTGTGGACTGCCACTAACAACTGCCTCCGCTCTGATTCATTATAAAGAGTATTTTGATAAAGACAGAGGGCTCAGGATAGGGTACACCCTATCAGGGTTGCTGCTGCCAACAAGAATGAAGACTTTTCCTTCTCCATTTTCCCAAGTCTGAGCTGGAATTCCCATGCCCAATGCTGCTCTGGTCTTCTGTTCCCTGAGGAGCAGCTAAAGTGTGCTCCTACTCTGCTTGTCAAATTAACCTTACTAACAGTGAGTACTTAGAGAAGTCTTCAGATCTTGTGAGGTCTGAGTTTGCCCCAAAATGTTTTGCTGTAAACAGCACCTACACGCTGCTTCAATAAAGCCTAATTTTTTAATATTTCTTTTTTATTTTTTTATTTAGTTATTTTCAAGTACAGTTTTTTGTCTATTTCTTCCATCCCAGCCCCCCCGTCCCCGTGCTCCCCACTTCCCTCCCATCTCTACCCCCCCCCAGCTCTTGTCCCTGCATCCCTCATATTTGTTCCTCCAAATCCCTCCCCCTTCCCCCTTAAACTCCCTTCCCTCTCCCCTCTGGTCACCATCCCCATGTCCTCTATTTCAGTGTCTTTGTTTTTATTCTGCTTGCTTGTTCGTTTTGTTGTTTAGCTTCCTGTTAAAGGTTAGATCATATGGTATTTGTCTTTCAACCCCTGGCCTATTTCACTCAGCACAATGCTTTCCAGTTCCATCCATGTTGTTGCAAAGGGTAGGAGCTCCTTCTTTCTCTCTGCTGCATAGAATTCCATTGTGTATATGTACCACAATTTTTTTATCCATTCATTTACTGTTGGGCACCTAGGTTGCTTCCAACTCTTGGCTATTGTAAATTGTGCTGCTATGAACATTGTGGTGCATAGGTTCTTTGAAATTGATGTTTTGGGGTTCTTAGGATATAATCCTAGTAGTGGAATTGCTGGGTCAAAAGGCAGGCCGATTTTTATTTTTCTGAGAAAAGTCCATACTGTTTTCCACAATGGTTGTACCAGTCTGCAATCCCATCAACAGTGAACTAAGGACTCCTTTTCTCCACAACCTCTCCAACACTTGTTGTTTGTTGCTTTATTTATGATAGCCATCCTGACTGGTGTAAAGTGGTATCTCATTGTGGTTTTAATTTGCATCTCTCTGATAGCTAACGATATTGAGCATATCTTCATGTGTCTATGGATATTCTGTATGTCATCCTTGGAGAATGGTCTGTTCAAGTCCTTTTCCCATTTTTTAATTGGGTTAGGTGTCTTCTTAGAGTGGAGTCATGTAAGTTCTTTGTATAGTTTGGAAATTAAACCTTTGTGTGAGGTATCATTGGCAAATATATTTTCCCATACAGTTTGTTCTCTTTTTAATTTAATAGTTTTCTTTAGCCATGCAGAAGCTTTTTATTTTGATGAGATCCCATTTGTTTATTCTTTCCTTTATATTCCTTGCTCTAGGGACATATCAGTAAAAATGTTGCTGCATGAAATATCAGAGATTTTCTTGCCAATGTTTTCCTCTAAAACTTTAATACTTTCACAGTTTATATTTAAGTCTTTTAGCCACCTTGAATTTATTTTGGTGTATGGTGTAAGTTTGTGCTCAAGTTTCATTTTTTTGCATGTAGCTGTCCAGTTCTCCCAACACCATTTGTTGAAGAGGCTATCTTTACTCCATTTTATGTTATTGCCCCCTTTGTGGAATATTAATTGACTGTAGAGAGTTGGGTTTATTTGGGGGCTCTCTGTTCTGTTCCATTGGTCTATGTGCCTGTTTTTATGCCAGTACCAGGCTGTTTTGATTACAGTGGCCTTGTAATACAGTTTGATATCAGGTATTGTGATCCCTCCTACTTTGTTCTTCTTTCTCAAAATTGTAGCTGCTATTCGAGGTTGTTTATGGTTCCATATAAATTTTTGAAGTGTTTGTTCTATGTCTGTGAAGTATGCCATTGGTACTTTATTTTTTTTAAAGAGTTATTTATTTATCTTTAGAGGGGAAGGGAAGGAGAGAGGGAGAGAAATATCAATGTATGGTTGCCTCTAGTGCATCCCCTGCAGGGAACTGGCCTGCAGGGAACCTGCCTGCAACCCAGGCATGTGCCCTGACTGGGAATCGAACCGCGATCCTCTGGTTCACAGGCCCGTGCTCAATCCACCATTGGTACTTTAATAGGTATTGCATTGAATCTGTATATTGCTTTGGGTAGTATGGACATTTTGATGATGTTAATTCTTCCAATCCATGAACAAGGTATATGTTTCCATTTGTTTGTGTCTTCCCTGATTTCTTTCTTCAGTGTTGTGTAGTTTTCTGCATACAGGTCTTTTACATCCTTGGTTAGGTTTATTCCCAGATATTTTATTTTTCTTTTTGCTATATTGAATGAGATTTTTTTTCTTGATTTCTGCTTCTGCTGATTCATTGTTAGTATACAAAAATGCCTTTGATTTCTGGATATTGACTTTGTATCCTGCTGTTTTGCCAAATTCATTAATTAGTTCGAGCAGTTTTTTGGTAGAGTCTATAGGATTTTCCATGTACACTATCATGTCATCTGCAAACAGTGACAGTTTTCTTTCCTTTTTTCCTATTTGGATGCCTTTTATTTCCTTTCCTTGCCTAATCACTGTGGCCAAAACTTCCAATACTATATTGAATAGAAGTGGTGAAAATGGACATCCTTGTCTTGTTCCTGATCTTAGTAGAAAAGCTTTTAGTTTTTGCCCATTGAGTATGATGTTGGCTGTAGGTCTCTCATATATGGCCTTTATTATATTGAGGAATGCTCCCTCTATTCCCACTTTGCTGAGTATTTTTATCATAAATGGGTGTTGTACCTTATCAAAAGCTTTTTTCATGTCTATTGATATGATCATGTGGTTTTTGTCTTTGCTTTTGTTTGTGTGATGTATTACATTTACTGTTTTGCGAATGTTGAACCATCCTTGCATCCCTGGGATGAATCCCACTTGGTCATGGTGTATGATCTTCTTGATATATTGTTGGATGCGATTTGCCAATATTTTGTTGAGGATTTTAGCATCTATGTTCATGAGCGATATTGGCCTGAAGTTCTCTTTCTTTGTTGTGTCTCCATCTGGTTTTGGAATTAGGATGATGCTGGCTTCATAAAAAGAATCTGGGAGTTTTCCATCCTTCTTCATGTTTTGGAATATTCTGTGAAGAATAGGGGTTAGTTCTTCCTTAAATGCATTGTAGAATTCTCCTGTGAAACCATCTGGTCCAGGGCTTTTGTGTGATGGGAGTTTTTTGATTACTGCTTCAATTTCTTTTGCTGTTATTGGTGTGTTCAGATTTTCTGTTTCTTTTTCATTAAGTTTTGGAAGATGGTATTTTTCTAGAAATGTGTCCATTTCCCCTAGGTTTTCAAATTTCTTGGCGTACAGTTCTTCATAGTAATTTCTAGCAATCCCTTCTATTTCTGTGGTATCAGTTGTAATCTCTCCTCTTTCATTTCTGATTGTGTTTGTTTGAGTCCTCTCTCTTCTGTTCTTGATGAGCCTACTTAAAGGCTTGTCTATTTTCTTGATCTTTTCAAAAAACCAACTCCTGGATTCGTTGATCCTTAGAATTGTGTTTTTAATCTCTATGTCATTAAGTTCTGCTCTAATCTTGGTTATTTCCTTCTTTCTGCTTGCTGTGGGCTGTCTTTGTTGTTATTCCTTGAGTTCTTGCAGGTGTAGGGTTAGGTTGTTTGTTTGAAATGTCTCTATCTTCTTTAGGTAGGCCTGTATTGCTACAAACTTCCCTCTCGGGACTGCCTTCGCTGTGTCCCATAAGTTCTGGGTTTTTGTGAGTTCGTTTTCATTTGTTTCCAGAAACGTTTTGATTTCTTCCCTAGTTTCATTCTTGACCCATTCATTGTTTAATAGCATACCATTCAGTCTCCATGATTTTTGGTGCTTTGGGTTTTTTCCTCTGGGGTTGGTTTCCAATTTCAGTCCCTTGTGGTCAGAGAAGATGCTTGGTATGATTTCAATTTTCTTGAATTTGTTGAGGCTCGTTTTGTGTCCTATCATGTGGTCTATCTTTGAAAATGTTCCATGTGCATTTGAAAAGAATGTGTATTTAGCTTCTTTTGGATGAAGGGCTCTCTATATATCAGTTAAGTCCATTTTATCTAAGGTGTTCTTTAATGCCACAATATCTTTGTTGATAATTTGTTTGGAAGATCTGTCCATTTTTGATAGTGGGGTGTTAAAATTCCCTACTATAATTGTGTTGCTGTCAATATCATTCTTGAAGTCCTCTAAGATTTTCTTGATATATTTTGGTGCTTCTATGTTGGGTGCATATATATTTACGATGTTAATGTCTTCTTGGTGGATTCTTCCCTTGAGTATTATGAAGTGACCTTCTGGGTCTCTCTTATGGCCCTCTTTTTGAAGTCTATTTTGTCTGATATGAGAATTGCTACCCCAGCTTTTTTTTCTTGCCCGTTTGCTTGGCAAATTTGTTTACAGCCTTTCACTTTTAGTGTGTGATGGTCTTTTGTCCTGAAGTGGGTCTCTTGTAGAAAACATTTGTGATGGTCATGCTTTCTTATCCATTCAGCTATTCTGTGTCTTTTGATTGAACCATTTAATCCATTTACATTTAAGGTTATTATTGATAGATACTTATTCATTGCCATTTTTGTACCTGTGATCCTCTATGTCTCTCACTTTTCCTTCCTTTCCTTAAAGTAGTCCTTTTAGTGTTTCTTGTAGGACTGGTTTGGTGGACACATATTCTTTTAGACTTCTTTTGTCTTGGAAGCTCTTTATTTGGCCTTCTATCTTGATCAAGAGCCTTGCCGGGTAAAGTAGCCTTGGTTGTAGGCCTCTGGTTCTCATTACTTGGAATATTTCTTGCCATTCTCTTCTTGCTTGGAGTGTTTCCATTGAGAAGTTAGTAGCTAACATTGGGGCTCCCTTGTATGTTACTTCTTTTTTCTCCCTTGCTGCCTTTAATATTTTCTCTTTGTCTTGGAATTTTGCCATTTTGATGATGATGTGTCTTGAAGTGGGCCTCCTTGGGTTTCTCTTGATTGGGACTCTCTGTGACTCCTGGATTTGTGTGACTTTTTCTCTCATCAAATTAGGGAAATTTTCTCTCATTACTCTTTCAAATACGTTTTCTATCCCTTGTTCTTCTTCTTCTCCTTCTGGTATCCCTATTATTCAGATATTATTATGTTTCATATTGTCTTATATTTCTCTTAATCCCTCTTCATTCTGAGTTTCTTTTCCTTTTCCTGCTCTTTCTGTGAGATGCTTTCTACTTTGTCCTCCAGCTCGCTAATCCGATCCTCCGCTTCATCTATCCTACTTTTGAAACTATCTACTGTGTTCTTCAATTCAGAAATTGTAGTCTTCATTTCCTCTTGTCCCTTGCTGATAGTTTCTATTTCCTTTTTCATGTTGATATAGTTCGCAGTGAGATCATTGTAGCTCCCCTGTAGTTTTTGGTAGCTCATTGTGAGCTCTTTGAACTTCGTGATAACCAGTGCTTTGAATTCACTATCTGATAGTTGATTAGCCTCTATTTCATCTAACATTCTTTCTGAAGCCTCTGCTTTTTCTTTTATTTGGGGATTGTTTCTTTGTCTTCCATTGTTTGTGAGACTCTTCTTTTTAGCCTCAGCTTCTAAAATTGATCTGTTCTGGCTCCCTGGGTTTATGCTGTGAACCTCTGTGGTATAATACCTATGAATTTCAGTGGTGCAGACTCCTTCAGGTATCTTGATGTTGTCTGTTTCCACCTACTCCTTTAATTGTGTATGTGTAATCAGTTGTAGGAGGAGGCAAAACGGTTTATGACAGCAGAAGAGTTTTTTATGATATTTATAGTCACAGCCGGTAGAGAGAAGATAGGCGATCTTTAGACTATATATTGTGT